TTCGCATTTAAACTAATTCTGACCGATAAGTAAGCCACACTTCAAGAAGATCACCTGGCAACTCTTCATTCCACTCAATTCCAGCCAACCACAACTTTTGTATCATCACCTTGGCTGTAATACACTGTAATACACACAAGGGGCCACCCATTCTAAAGTGTCGAAAAGACGTGAAATGTCTGAAATGACTTTTCTCTTTGTGATGGGATTTTCTTGCATGGTGAATTGTACCGAGTAATGAAATGAATCAGTTTCTTTATCCCAGTTAAGTCCCAGCATTTTCGCTAACCTTATGTTAATTCTTCCTTCTTCATTTCCATGTTCTTTCATAACTACTTCTGCTAATTCTGTATTTTTCGTGTGTGTTTGTGTGTATGTATATAAATCCATTTCTGTAGCTGAAACTCACCTTTGCTTAATAGCTCTTTCACTTCCTTTCCTTCTTCAACTGTTTGTCATCCTGTCAAGAGATCATCTACATAAAAATCATGTTTTAGTTTTTCAGCCACAAGCGGATATACACTGCCTTCATCGATCGCAAGTCGCTGCAACGTCTTCATAGCCAGGTATGGAGTTGACGCTGTGCCAAAAGTAACTATTTCTAATCGATATTCTTTCATTACAGATTCTAGGCTGTCTCTTCACACAAGCCTCTGAAAGTCTACATCTTCTTCTGCGACAATTATCCAGCGATACATTTTGACTATATCTGCGCTCAAGCATATAGGGTGCATACGCCACTTCAGTATAATGTGCTGTAACTTGTGTTGGAGCTTAGGACCAATCATCAGAGTATCGTTGAGTGAAATGCCGTTTTTACCCTTGCATGAAGCGTAAAACATAACTCTGACCTTAGTTGTGTTTTTGTCTTCACGTATAACGGCATGATGTGGAAGATATACAGAGACATGTTTCCTTTTGTCATCTTCCGATATACGCACCATATGACCAAGGTCCAAGTATTCATGAATTACCTCTGAGTACTTGTTCTTGAGTTCGATATCTTTCTTGAAGCGCTTTTCTAGTTATAATTTTACAGTAAGTCTATACCTCTATATAGTACCAATCAATCTTTTGGTTGCAGAAATTGGCGAACAAGGACATTAAAATATTCATATAAAATGTCCATATTGATAAAACTTGTATTTTTCAAATAGCACGCAGGCACTAATAAAAATAAATGATTTTTAAGAGATAAGACGGTTATTTTTGTAGAAGAGGGGCAAACGAGCATACGGCTCACCTGATGGTAAGTGATTACCACTGCCCATGAACAACTGCAGTACCAGGGGAGTTGCAGATGCGTTGCCGACCTTTTAAAAAGGAGTAGGCTCTTTTCTTGAAGGTCCCTAAGTCGTATCGGTCCGGAAAAATCTCTGGTGGTAGTCAATTCCACAAGGAAGGTGTGCGAAGAAAAAAATTATTTTAAATATTGGATGAATGATGATGTTGTTTTTTTAAATGTTTCAGATGATGTGGATGATATCGGGAGTTTTGCCGCGCTATGTGCTTGAAATTTGAGGGCTGGGATTCATCCGAACTTAGATTGCTCCCCGTGGTAAACGCGATAAAATCCGTAAATATAGTGTTATTCAATCATTTTTATCAATATCTTAAAATACTTATTTTTAATGAAATTATGTTCGTAAATCTTGAGAGGCTCAATTTACGTTGTCCGGAGGAAAAAAGTACCCGTATTATTAAAATTAGAAACCAAATTTTTTTTATACTACTTTAATTTATGATCTAACTGAGGCACGATAGTTTTTCAAATTCAAATTCTTTATTGCATAAATTAATCTATTACATAGCATATTGTATGCATAAAAATTTATGAAACGGTTACCTACCTGGAAAAATGTAGGCTGTGGAGGAACGTTCCTACGTGTTGGAATAAAAGGAGCTAGACTGCAAAATAAAACCGATAAAAAAGTGGAGCGGTGCAGATGAATTGAATTTATGTACAGTCAAAATTACAAGTGACAAAAGTTACAGGCGACGATAAAATAAATATGAATTTATTTTAAGAGACGACAATTTTTGGAAGAAAAACATGGAGGGAACTTTAGTATAATTTTACAATAATTGTCTACTTTTAGAACTACGTGCGTCAAAAATGTGACGACATCCTTAATTTTTTTCTTTTTGTATCGTTGTTTAAAAATATAATTATTAAAATAAAATAAAATATGTACTGATTTTGTTTTCTTTTCCGCAGGTGCTGATGCTGCATCTCTTTTCATAAATCTCTTTTTTTTAAATGAAGACTTTTGGCTTGGATGCTTGTATTTTAAGCCATATATTCATTTCATTCGCGGCTTCGTTTTCATAGGTTTTTTCTTCACAATATGCTGACGAGTCAAATTGCATTTTTGGGAGATTTTGATGACAAATCAACCCAGAGGACAGGCGATGATGACAGTCATTCAATTTCTTTAGGCGCCTAAGTGTTCAAAATAACTTGAGGTTAATTTCTACGTTGAAGCTCTTGTTTCGTCGTTTTCTCTAATAGTTCATATGCGCAGACACATATTACACAAAATCGCATCACTTTTACCTATCAAAATCCACTTCAAACGATTATTTAAACGATAAACTAGAAACAACAATTCAAGGATGGTCAATTTTCCGTCAAAACTCCCTCATACAGTTAAACAGAAATAGATACAGACTATCAAAAACAATTTAAATGCGATTTAAGCTAGCAACACATGTAAGAAGTCATTACGTGTGTCATTTTCAGAATAGTGTTGCTTTGTTTTTTGTAGACATAATTTTGGTAGAAGGTACAATTTATTGTAAACAAACTTTTTGTTAAACATCATTTGAAAAACTTAATTTTGTGATTCATTTAAATTGGCATTATTATTACTTTAATAGCCTTTATAATTTTTTCCATGCTCCAATTTCAAATTATTTAATGGACACATTAGTGACATAAATAAAAAAATCGACTTTAAAAATCATAATTTAATATACCACTTGACATTTAATTCCAACCTAATCCAAATACCAAACGATTAAGGCGCAAATTGTCACTAAGTGTTAGGTGTAGTAATATAAATGTGCCAGTCTCAACGTAGACGCATAACAGAATTATAAGTGCACATAGTGTGTATGCAGAACATGTCACACACTCTCTTTTAACTTATTCTTTTAGCCGTATGCCCGTATGGCGCGTCGATAGAAATTCAACACAACTGGAGGGAAGATTAGGCGTAGGATCAATGGCTGTACGTGGTTTTAGATGCACAGGATATGATACTGACAACTTTCTGACTACGGGCTGCTACTGAGAGTATCTAGACAGAAAAACCCAATAACTGATTTTGAGCACTTGATCAGTAGTCGCATTTACGACAACTAGACCAACTAGGCATTCTTAACACGTTTGCAGCGGCACTGATATATCTGTACTTTCCATTACTGCGTTACGAGACGTTTGAAACCTCGTTCTGAACCAGAGGTTGTAGCGGCACGAGGCTTATTAAACCCCACCGCCCACAGAAGACAAAAATCCATTTTTTGGCGCCAAATAAGGCGAATTGTACGTTTTTTGTCGCGATTATTATTATCAATTAGTTGATTAACCTAAATCTGCCGCCGCCCGTGGGCGGATTATTTAGTTTAGATTCTATATGCAAAATAAAATGTGGGGTCTTATGTACCCCATACCGCACTGAAAAAGGGCAGTTTTTCATATTGTTTAGTGATGGGAAAAAATATCGATTTTATTTAATTGTACTTATGGATGCTTTTTATTAAAACATGTTAAACAATAATATTTTTTGCAACCGATACATTCTGTGAGAATTTTCTTTGCTTTTTTGTCAGCCTCACGACTTGATAAGAAGGTGCGAAGTTTTTCGTAGCATCCTACACATCTCATTTTCTTTGATCCTTTTTCGAGATGATGTGGATTGTTTGGACGGGTTCTGAAAAAAAAAACTGATAGTGTATTTTTGAAGCGGGTTGATTAGGTGTAGCGATTTATTGGAGCATTTCTATACATAAGTATGGGATCGTTACGGCCTGTGTGTGTTTTGCTTTTGTCAGTTGAATTTATTTGTTATATTCCTACATAATTATTTCACTTAGACTGAGTATAATTTGTAAATATTGATTGGAAACTTACCTGTTTTTCAAATATCGTTAATTTAGAATTAGATTTACCACCAAATTCCTCTTCATCATCAATAATATTATTAATTAACTTTCTTCGGCAACGTTTCGTCATCTTTTTATATCGTCGCGGGTGCAGCGTTCAACGTTTTGCACAACACTAACCGCGTAAAGATAGCGTAGGGTGCGGTAAGAGGTGTGTGAGGTACGAGGTGTTCGCAACCTCGTAACGCACTGTTTTAAACTTTAATTTAATCAGTGCGGTACGAGGCCCAAAAAATCCGGTATTAAGGTAGATATACCAAAAAACTCGCCATCAATAGCACATCTCAGACATATAGTTATCTCTTTCCTAGACTGAAGCAAACGGAAGTTACGCCTCTCGCACGACAGAGAAGTTTAAGTTTTTCCTTACCGCTATAACGACGAGACACGGACGAGGTGTTTCAAGCCTCGTTTCGCAGTGAACGTGTTAAGAGTGTTTTTGTGAGTGAGAAATGCGAAAGAGGTTGATAAAACTTTATTTTAGAGGTGCTGTAGCATGCATATTGACCTGTAAATACTTTGCGAATAACAAGTACTAATTTTCTACTTAGCTTAGTATGAAACAAAAACTAATAAGCACTAACTTAGTATGAATTGTATGAATTAAATTATGAATCAACTGGCAACTCCGTGGCTGTCTGCCGCGCGTGCTAATCGCAATACGGAATCAATTTTGATTGTTCGTTCGTTTCGCTCTAAATTTCAGATGATTGAGTGACAAAAATAGTGTAGTGAAAATGACACTAGTAATTTGGTAAATTAAGTAAAATCACCATTATATTTGACCAAATTTGTGTTTATTTCGTGCTAAGTGTCAGTATTAAGTGAGTATTATGAACTTTGAGGACTATGAAACCCTTCCGACCCAGAACTCTATAACACACATGACAGCTGGAGCAATCGCAGGGATGATGGAGCATTGCATAATGTACCCGCTCGACTCCGTCAAGGTGAGTTGCGTTTGGGAGTCGCTGCCGCCGGTGGGCTCTTACGAATCCTTCGCAACCTTTTTATGCTAGTCCTAACCTAGATGTCTTTGCCTCATTGGTTCGCGCGTTACGCCACCAATTTTTTTTTGGGGACATAAAGTCTACATTTATTTGATGTCCAGATGTCAACTGTCCTAAAAAAATTACACACTATTCTGTTAAAAAACTATTAATTTGACGAAAGCTACCGTAAAACTGAACCGAACCGATATGTTGTACTGTTTTTTAGAAACACATATTGATAATCGTGTATTTTAGTTTTAACACATTGTGACCATCTTTAAAATACAGAAGTTGCCTTACTTTGGTTAAAAACCTGCCAAATTCTGTAGTGAAAAATGCCAAAATACTGCTTACATTAATTACCATTGTATTAAACATTTCATCACATTACACTATATGGCAAATTGTGTTCTACCAAAAAAACCAGACATGATTAGTTCTGGCTTTTTAATTTCTTTTTGCATGAAAGATTTCTTAAAGAATTGTTGCACCTGAAATAAATCAGTAAATTTATTTTAAAATGCAATATACATTCTTGTGAGTGTAAGATTCAATAAGTAAAGAAATATTACCTTAGCACTGCGATAGGACGTTTGACCTGGTGAAAAAATAAATATACCTATTACAATCTATTTAGTTTATTAAACTTACTGAAGAATGCCTACTGAATTCACTTAAATTTTTTGATGTTTACTAGTAGCGGCATGCTCCTTTAAAGCGGACAGCCAGGATGCGAATTCGCGGTTACAAGGCCACTGGGTCTGGGTTATTTTAAGCTTTGATGATCCATAATGAAAGTAAAGGATCTTGCTCCCACTCTGCTCTATATGCCATATTTTCGCATAAATATGGCATACAGAGCAAAAATATGATATATTATATATCATATAATATATCATATTTTTGCTTTAGCACTACCATCAATAATTACTATCGCCCATGAAACATTATATATTCATATATATTAACATTATATATTAACAAGATATTGCTCATGATATATTATCACCATGAAATCTAATATGAACTACGAAACTAAAGTATATCCTTCTATGACTGATTGAAATATTAACCATGAACTTGTGTGTATGAATACTTGTTCTAAGATTATCAATTTTACAAACAAACTTTTAATGTTGTTTATAGAATGTGATACAAACAATACCAGAAGTACAGGGAAATCCCCCACATGTTGGTGAAGAATCTTGGGTTACCATTTTCAGCATTTTGAGTTGTCACAATGAAATCTGTTTTTATTACCCCAATATTGCCAAATACTACCAGGCTTTATAAACCACGGACCGATCATGCCAGAGGCTAACATAAGAGGCCAGTCCTCCCAAAGTTACAGGAACCTGCCACATATGGTCACACTGTGTTAACCAATGCAGCTTTCACTTATTACAGATATGATCTATTTTCAATCACAATATTTTATCTCAACTTTGAGTTGCTTATATTTTAATTTACTCATGCTGGATTTTTGCCTTCATTTGTCATTGTTTTCTATTAATGATGACATTACAAAAATAGGTGTAATAGAAATAAATGGTTAGGTTATTATAGTTTTACTCACTTGTTTTTTTTACCTACATACATTTAAGTTGTCATTTGATAGGAGGAAAAACCAACATCATAAAAGGCAGATCTAAAAATATCACTGATGTTCATATTGAGTTTTTTAATAAATAATTGACTTGTTTTATATTGCATGTTTTATGTGAAGTCATTATTGTGAGTTAAATAGTACACAAATTATTTTAATGTAGTGGTCCTGATGCTGCCTTTATATAGTGTTAATATTTGTTGCTGCATCTTTGCTATTGTGTAACTTTGTGTGCAGTTATTATATTATCTGTCAATTGTGATAGTATGACTGCTATAATAATAATTTAATGAATGATATAAATTGATTAATCAAGGTACTTAATGTAGGAAGTCGATGGATGCAGGTGGCTCAGGTCAGGACTGTGACCTTAGTTCAGCAGTGAACTTATAAAAGGCTGTTATGATGATAATGATTATTATGAATAGATTTTATATTTACTCATATACTACTTCAGCTACACTTACTTAAAGTAAAGGTAAAGTTACAGCCCATTGCTGTGACTTAGAGCACAGGCCTCACCTCATTCTGAGCGGGTTTTAGGCCAAGGAAGTGTCTGCCCTGCTACCCCGATGCATGTTGGCGAACTTTACATGTCTTCGAAATATTATTTTTCCTTGTTTCTCAGACATGCATGTTTCCTTACAATATTTTCCTTATCGCCAAACATGTGTTAAATCAGCACTTAAAATTCCAATTAACAATTTCATTAGTGCTGGCAGGGATTGTAACTGGTTTGCTTACATACTATGAAATTTACTGCGAGTGCTAACCATCTGAGCTGCTATGGCTTTTACATAATTATTTTTGATTAAAAGAAATAGCTCGAAGTAGTTTATCAAGTAATTTGATGATATATTGTAGACCGGTAATGTTAACAGTACTCTTCAAACAGATTTTTAAGGCATTCTAATATTACCTACCTGTTCTCTATTTTCTTATATAATAAATAATTATTGTTAAATTTGACTAGATTATATGAAAACTGGATAATCTTATACTGTTCTAACTAGAGCTACTGTTGAATAATATAATACTTCAATAATTTATTTATTATAATGTTATAATCTTATAATAACTGACAGACTGGAATATGTGAATATTATCAGGATTCTCTCAACAATTACATCAGATTTGATTGATCACAAAACCTTGCAAAAGTACACTGCCAGAGATGATTCATGAGGCAAATTTTTATAATAAAGAGGTTGGCTACATGCTACCACCTGCTTGTGATCCTACAATTAATTAAGTAAAATCGGAACCCAAGCATATCCCTAAAAGATTTCATGATACTGTAAGCTTTTGCTATGTAGATCAGACCATTTTTTAAATAAAATGAGGGTGAAGGAAGAGCATACAATCTACATAATGTTAAGTGTATGCTGTGGCCCATAGACATCTACAATTATCCTCAATTAAAAATCAAAATGCAGATGAATACCTCTGAGGACTAAGATGGAATTCCCCATTTCCAGTAAAAAGGATCTCCGGTTCTCTACGCTCACTATACTGAATGCTTGCAGTTTAATGTTGCTATTTGATGCTGGTTTTCTGTTTGATCATGGTCCTACCCTGGCAACGCTGACCTATTTGTGTTACAAATATAATATATCTACAGTGTGGCTCTACCACATATTAAATTAGCTTCGAGCCACCAAAGCAGATTAATCAGTTTTTACCATCAATCAAGTGTAGCTGTTGTCTACAAGATGCAGGAGTATAAAAGTTTGATTGTGAATGTGGTCTCTGTTACACAGCCAAACTAAAAGACCAATGAAACCTGCATTAAAGAACGCTTAGCTGATGTGAAGAATCGATGCTCCATGGAGGCTGCAGTTTGTGAACACATACAGGGTCATCCCCATCATTTCATCAGATTTGATAGATCCAAATCCTAGATAGATAGAATCCGAGATAGATCCTTAGATACAAATCCTTGCTAAAGTGCACGAGTTCCTTCCAGGGATGATTTGCGAGGCTATTGAAACCAAAAAACATCCGAATTTCAATAGACAAGATTGCTAGGTGCTCCTATCAGCTTGGGATAAGATAATAATATAAAATTAAATCCCAAAAGTAGTACCAGTTACTCGACTCCACCGAGTCAGTAATTCATTCTAAGGGCGATGTATATGCTTTTACAACAAAATCCCAGAATAAAACTAATTGAATAAAACTAAATTTACGGATTTTATCGCGTTTAATCACTACTTTTACTTATTTTTTAATTCCCGACGTTTCGGGTGCTTTACAGCAACCATGGTCACGGGGGGACTGAGATGTTTGACGTCCCAATGTCATTGTTAGCCCGGCTACCTTCAGTTTTTGAATATTAATTTTTGGTCCGATTTACACAAAACGAACTAACAGTATCTTGAAGTCTTGCAGTGGTATGCTTGGGTTTGGGTTTAAATTTTGTTAATTATAGGATCCCAAGCAGATGGCAGCACCCAACCATCTTCTTTATTGAAATTAGGATGTTTTTTAATTTCAATAGCCTCGCGTATCATCCTTGGTAGGAATCGGTGTTTTCTTTTGCGAGGACTTGTGGTTTATCAAATCTGATGTAATGGTGGGGACGATCTTGAACATGTTCACAGACTGCAGACTTCCCGGAGCGTCGGTGCTTCACGTCAGCTATATGTTCTTTCACGCGGGTTTTTATGGATCTTTTTGTTTGATCTATGTAAGAGAGACCACATTCACAATCTAACTTGTAAATTCCTGCATCTTGTAGAGGGATATTACATTTGACGGATGGTAAAAATTGACTAATCTTCTTCCGCGGCTTGTAGTATGTTTTAATGGAAGCTCGCTTCAAGATGTAGCCAACCTTGTCTGTGATTCCTCTGACATATGGTAGTACAGCAGGTACACGCTCGACTGTGGCCGGCTTCACTTGGTCACTGTGACGTAGGCGTGGGACCCGAAGCTTGTTGTCTTGCAATACTTGCTTGACATGCTGAAGTTTGGCGGCCAGATGTTTTCTGTCACAGATCCCTCGTGTTCTCTGAAACAAAGATCTACCCATGGTAGCTAACTGTGAAGGATGATGGTGAGATTCACCATTTAAATATCGGTTGGTATGGGTCTTTTTTCTATACACAGTGTGACCAATTGTGTTATTAGGATTTTGAATGACTAAAACATCTAAGAAAGCTAAAGAATTATTTGCCTCTAACTCCCTTGTGAATTGTATTTTAGAGTTTATAGAGTTGAGGTGGTTTAAAAATGCAGTTACTTTGTCAGATGGTAAAATTGTGAAAGTGTCGTCTACGTACCGCTTGTAGAATCTTGGATTTACAGGAGCAGTAAGAAGGGCTTTCTCCTCGAAGTCCTCCATGAATAT